CTGCACAATGATACTAATACGAATGCTACCCAGAAATATACGAATGAACATACCACTCGTCTACCAACACTTTTTATGAACAAGTGGCACGCGTGCCCTGGCTCTTGCAAAAAGGAGCTGCGAAGGACTGGAGGCCCAAGGGTGGGTGGCTCAGGGGAGCTGGGGCTCAGGCTCAGGGATGGGGGCGAGGGGGACAAACCACCACGAGCCACGACGAAAATAAAGGGTTCCGCGGCCCAGGGGGGCTGCCCTGGGAAGCCTGGACGGAGGGGGGTCCCAAGGGGGGGTGGCCCAGGGGAGCTGGGGCTCAGGCTCAGGGGGGGGGGGGGCCGAGGGGACGAACCACCACGAGCCCTGACGAAAATAAAGGGTTCCGCGGCCCAGGGGGGCTGCCCTGGGAAGCTGGGGCTCAGGCTCAGGGGAGCGGCCGAGGGGGACGAACCACCACGACGAAACTAAAAGGGTTCCGCGGCCCAGGGGGGCTGCCCTGGGAAGCCTGGACGAAGGGGCGGTTCCAAGGGGGGGTGGCCCAGGGGAGCTGGGGCTCAAGCTCAGGGGAGGGGCCGAGGGGGACGAACCACCACGACAGAAATAAAGATGTCCGAGCTCTAGAGCACAGCTGTGCAAGAGAATTATGGGTTCCGCGGTCCAGGGGAGCTGCCCTGGGAAATCCTGGGGAGCTGCCCTGCGCTGCTCGGGGAAAAAGGGGGGGGGGGCCTGGGGAGCCCTGGGGAGGGGGGGGGGGGGGGACGACCACGAACGAACGAAAATAAAGAGTTCCGCGGTCCAGGGGAGCTGCCCTGGGACCCTGGAGAGCTGCCCTGGGGAGCCCTGGGGGGGGATGCTGCTCTAGGGGCGGGAGGCCCTGGGGAGCGCTGCCCTGGGGAGCTGCGGGGGGGGAGGGGGGAGGGGGACGACCACGAACGAACGAAAATAAAGGGTTCCGCGGTCCAGGAGAGCTGCCCTGGGAAACCCTGGAGAGCTGCCCTGGGGAGCTCTTGGGGGGGGAGGCTGCTGGGAAGCCCTGGGGGGCAGCCCTGGGGAGCTGCCCTGGGAAACCCCGGGGAGCTGCCCTGCGCTGCCCGGGGGGGGCGGAGGGGGGCCTGGGGAGCCCTGGGGAGGGGAGGGGGGAGGGGGACGACCACGAACGAGCGAAAATAAAGAGTTCCGCGGTCCAGGGGAGCTGCCCTGGGAAACCCTGGAGAGCTGCCCTGGGGAGCCCTGGGGGGGGGGGATGCTGCTCTAGGGGCGGAAAGCCCTGGGGAGCGCTGCCCTGGGGAGCCCTGGGGGGGGAGGGGGGAGGGGGACGACCACGAACGAACGAAAATACAGGGTTCCGCGGTCCAGGAGAGCTGCCCTGGGAAACCCTGGAGAGCTGCCCTGGGGAGCTCTTGGGGGGGAGGCTGCTCCAGGGGCGGGGGGCCCTGGGAAGCCCTGGGGGGCAGCCCTGGGGAGCTGCCCTGGGAAACCCCGGGGGAGCTGCCCTGCGCTGCCCGGGGGGGGCGGGGGGGGGCCTGGGGAGCCCTGGGGAGGGGAGGGGGGAGGGGGACGACCACGAACGAACGAAAATAAAGAGTTCCGCGGTCCAGGGGAGCTGCCCTGGGAAACCCTGGAGAGCTGCCCTGGGGAGCCCTGGGGGGGGGGATGCTGCTCTAGGGGCGGGGGGCCCTGGGGAGCGCTGCCCTGGGGAGCCCTGGGGGGGAGGGGGGAGGGGACGACCACGAACGAACGAGAATAAAGGGTTCCGCGGTCCAGGGGGGCTGCCTAGCTGCCCTGCGGAAACACTTGGGGGGGGGGCTAGCTGCCCTGCGGAAACACTTGGGGGGGGCGGCGGGGGGGGGACGACCACGAACGAACGAAAATAAAGATGTCCGAGCTCTAGAGCATAGCTGTGCAAGAGAATAATAACAATACGAGGGGGAGGAGGAAGAGGAGGAGGAGGAGGAGGAGGAGGAGGAGGAGGAGGAGGAGGAGGGAGGAGGAGGAGGAGAGGAGGAGGGAGGAGGAGGAGGAGGAGGAGGAGGAGGAGGAGGAGGAGGAGGAGGAGGAGGAGGAGGAGGAGGAGGAGGAGGAGGAGGAGGAGGAGGGAGGAGGAGGAGGAGGAGGAGGAGGAGGAGGAGGAGGAGGAGGAGGAGGAGGAGGAGGAGGAGGAGGAGGAGGAGGAGGAGGAGGAGGGGAGGAGGAGGAGGAGGAGGAGGAGAGAGGAGGAGGGAGGGAGGAGGAGGAGAGGAGGAGGACGAGGAGGAGGAGGAGGAGGAGGAGGAGGAGGAGGAGGAAGAAAAGGAAGAGGAGGAGGGGGAGGAGGAGGAGGAGGAGGAGGAGGAGGAGGAGGAGGAGGAGGAGGAGGAAAAGGAGAGGAGTCCCTAACCTGGACCGCTCCGCACAGTGGCGCCCGTGGGCCCCCCTCTGGACGCCCGGAGCCTTGGCGGACGCTGCCGGCGCCGCGGGGCCCGCAGGCGCGGCGGTTCCGCCTGGGAGATGTCATGGGCAACGACAGGGG